TATGCATTAAAAACTTACATATTTACACTATATATATAAGTAAATAAAAATTAATAAATAAAATATATTTAATGTATTATGTGCAGGCAATATGTATTTAATATAACTTGAGTTTTGTTTTTACTATTTAATATAAAGAAGTCATTTTATTATTTATAAATTATTAATACAAAATATTGAAAATTTTTGCTCAGTTTAATGTACTATTTTTCATCAATTTTATTTTTTATGTGGCTGATTAAATTTGTTGAATATTGAATGTTTACTAAAAAGTGCATACTTCAAAGTTTTTTTTTTGTTTTTTTTTTTTTTTAAATAGGTATATATAATACTATACTACATTGTCAAATTAATCATAAAACGAAAGTTGAATTTGTATTTTATAAATAAAAAATATCAAATGAAACACTTCTAAATATTATATATCGAATATCAATAAACTATTCACCAGATAAAAAAAAAATCTTCAGGCTCAACTGAAAGTGAAATCAAAATTGTCTAGCTTAAGCTACGCCTCTGTGCGAAAACAAGATGGAAATGAAAGAAAATGCTGTGGAGCTCATCAGTGTCGAGTTGACGTCGTCGCTGTTGTTGTTGTTGTTGTTGTTGTTGTCAACGGATATTCACAGTGGATTATGCATAGTTCTAAGGCACCGCAGCATTTGCCATGCTGCAAACAAGGCAAACTAACGAACTGAGAGAGCGGCAGAGCGGGAGAGCGAGAGAGCGGGAGAGAGGCCGAGAGTGGCTTTGGACATGGCTGCGTTTCTAATTAGTGAAGCGCTGGGATCATTTGCATCTTATTGACTAAATTAAGTGGCTCAGTGCGAAAGTTTTGCAACTGCGACTGCGACTGCGAAGAAACTGAAAGCAAATGAATTGAAATGAAATACGCTTTTTGCTGCAAATAAATAGCTGAATAGACGTTGGCAGCAAAATTGAAAATTGAGAATTTGCATTTGCCAGTTGCCAGTTGCCAGCTTCGAGTCGGCCGAGCAGCTTCCACAGCTACAGAGAGGCGGACGGAGAGACAGCCGGACAGACAGGCAGACAGGCGAACAGACGGACGTATAAATAAAATCATGACAAAGGCAAAAGCAACAACTGCAACAAATCTGTCATATGTCAAACTTTGCCATATTTAATTTCCTCTTTGCAAAATTAGTTTTCAGCCAAATTTTTCAGTACATTTTTCGTGTTGTACGGAACACACACACACACACATGTATGCTATATACGAATATGAATACGAATACATTTATATCATTGCTGTTTTTTGCTGTATTTTTTTGTATTTCATTTTTTTTTCTCGTTTGGGCGCGCAGCTGCAATAATTCATGTTCAGAAACTACAAATTGAGTCATAAACAACTTTTGATTTCGCATATACGGCATGCGGCATGTCGTCTGCCCAACTTGCGCCCCAGCCCTATTTCGGTTGCGCTGCAAACGAGCAGCATTTTTTGCTGCATACTTTTTGGGGTGGCGGGGTGGTGGGGTGTTGCCTGCCTTGACTCATGTTTGGGCCGGAAGCAGAGGTCGTGTTTGGTGTGCTTATTTTAGTTAACCTTTTTATACTCCATTACGAAAGTGAAAGGAGTATATTAGTTTAGTGAAATGTCCGTCTTACTGAATGTAAGTCTCCGTTGGAGGCGTGGCAATTCGGATAAAACTGTATGTTCAGTTATATTTACAGCTAGAAACTACTGTTGGCAGCCTCTACTGATCTGCCCCAAAATATTATATACATAAGTATATAACAATTGGGGGCGTGGCATATCAGAAAGTAGATATAGCAGCGTGCATGAGTATTCTGCAGTCGATAATGCCCGACTGCAACATTCATACTTGTTTAGCTATGTCTGTGTGTGCTCTCTCATTCATTCTCTTTCTATCTCTCTCTCTCCCTCCCTCCCTCTCTCTCTCTCTCTCTGTGTGCACTCATTAAAATCAAAAGCGTATAAAAACCGCTTATTTCATAATTTAGCAGCCGCAATTTTAGTTGTGGTTAAGTGTGCAAGCAAATAAAATTAAAATAAGTTCAGTGTTTTTTTTTTTAAATAATATTTCATTTTATATTTTGATGTGAAATAACTTTGAAAATCGTTTAAAAAGGTATGCAAACAATGTAATGCCTGTTGGCTGCCTGACTGGTTGGCCAACTGTCTGGCTTACTTATGTATTTTATTCTTTATGATTTATTTCGGAGTACTCTCCTTTTTTTCGGGCAGCCAGACACACACACACACACACATAGACGAGACCAGTAACCAGGAGCAGACCCTGGCTGAGGGCAGCTCACCCAAAAAGCTTGCCGCTTAATTTCATTAAACATTTATGAAATAAAGGCACAAGCTGCTGGCGTATTAAAATTTGATAGTCTGCGGTGGTCTGTCGCTGGGTGCGTGTGTGTATGTGTGGGTGGGTGTGTGCTGGCTGCTACGTATGCGTCATTGTTAATATTGTGCTGCGGTTTAACGCCAAAAGTCACCAATAGCTATATTTTATACACTAATGAGAGTCCTTAAGCCAAATGAGTCAGAGAGCTGACTCAGCTGAGCTGATGGAATATATATTGAAATTAAATTAAATCTGATAGATAAGCATGCCTGCCTAACCAAACTAACAGAAAGAGCATTCAGCAGTCATTTTTAAATATTTTTTTATAATTTTCCGCACGTCATTTGTATGCAGACAGAGTATTTATAATTCTGCATGGCCGTGCTTAACGTTTTCTTTCTTTTTTCTCTTTCTTTTTTCTCTTTTT